ATGCTGTGCGCATCTGTCGACGATGAGCAGAGCGAGTCCTCCTTGGCCGAGGTCAAGTCCCAGATCAAGCTGATTCTGCGGAGGCTGAACCGCAATTCAGAGCCGCAAGCCAGCATCGAAAGCGGAAATTACACATTACAGTACGGTGATACCTATTTCTTCTCCTGGGTCGTTCATCCGTCCGTCCGTCCGTCGTCTGTTACCTCGTTCAAGGCCTGAGCTAACACGGGGCAACGTCCGTTCTTCCAGCTATTTAATCGCCAACGCAATCGTATTTCTCTGCATCTGCGACCGCTCGTACCCGCGCAAACTCGCCTTCACCTACCTCTCGGACCTGTCGGCCGAATTCTCCAACTCATACTCCCAACAGCAACTGCACAGCCCTTCACTGCGGCCCTACGCGTTTATGGAATTCGATACCTTCATCAGCCGCACCAAGGCGACGTACGCCGACACCCGCGCCACGCAGAACCTCGACAAGCTGAACGACGAGCTGCGCGATGTGACCAAGGTCATGACTAAGAACATCGAGGATCTGCTGTACCGAGGAGACAGCTTGGAGCGAATGGGCGAGATGAGCTCGAGGTTAAGAGATGACAGTAAGAAATACCGCAAGGCCGCCGTGAAGATTAATTGGGATCTACTCATCAAGCAGTACGCACCCATAGGCATCTTTGGGCTAATCGTCTTGTTATTTATCTGGTTCCGATTCTTCTAATATAGGTCTGAAAGTGTCTGGAGTGGGTTTTTTGGGTGGAAAATGGGAATATGATGGCCTACCGCCCGCTTAAATTTGGCCATAACATTACGAAGACGGATCACAAATGTCTGACACAATAATATCACTAGATAACAGGTGAACCGACCCAGTGGTGAGAGGTTGGACAATGGCTTAATCCACCTACCTTGTCTATAAGCAGATAAAATCTAAGACACCAAGTACAAATGAGGCACCGCCACGATGATCCCGAGCTCGTTTTGGCCGCCCGGTCCGTGCGTGATATGTGAATCGTAGGCAAAGTCTCTCGCATTTGCGGGTTTCAGCCCTCCGGCCAACCAAAACGCCTTGCTATATCCCATCGCTAGGCTAGAATTTTATGTATACAAGGTCAAATCTAGACGGGGAACTCCAAAGACCCCTCCATTATGCTTTTCCTTCATTGCAGGAAAGACCGCGTCATAAATAATCGTATCACATCATACACTATATCTCGCAATACGCCCGCGGCCAAGAACTTTTCATAGCCGTCGTTATCCTCCGTGCCTCTTCGCTGCGAGCGCGGTCTCTCTTAGCTATTCTCTGGGCTGGTCGTGGATCCAGGGAATGCCTACATGACCTCACAGCTCGAAGACTTGGATGTGACATTTGTAAGGCCGGGTATCAAACCGGCATGACTCCATTCGAGGTGCTCCTGTAGCATGGCTACACTCTCGAATCCGCGCTCGTCCTGCGTATACCGCACGCGATCCATGTCGTTGTCGCCTTGTTCCTCATAGTAGTAATCGTCGCAGAGAGGGCAGAGCAGCGGGGCCTGCCATTCGCCCGGTTCCGGCGGGAGGTGGTTCCCGATGGCAACTGGGGGGAAGATGATCGTCTTCTCCTCCCCTTTCAACTCCGTCTCTACCTCCGTGTCCGGTCCCCTTGCCGTTGTTTGTCCTGGCGTGGTCTGGAAATTCGAAGTACTGCGCCTGTCCTCGAGTTCGACGGACGAGTCTTGTCCGGGAAAGGGAGGGTAACTGCTGGGCTGCAAATTGGAGCGGGGATGTGTGAACCCGGTAGCGGCCCAATTCTCGAACATGCCTGCTGGTGATGTTGGAGCGTGCTGCCGCGCGCTCGGCATTGAACGTAAGTCCTCCCATACGAGAAATCCATCGCAGAAATCGCAGACAAAGGCCATATCCCGATTCTCAGCTCCTAGGCGCTGAAATTTACCCGTCAAATTGCAGGCGGCAATCTCACCGTTGAGTGTTAAATTCGGTTGTGTTGTTGTCGTCGTTGTTGTTGATATCCTCCTCCCCTCTAGATGCGGTTGTGGCTGCGGTTGGGAAGGTTGAGAGGGGTTGGATTGGTGCCGTTGCTGGCTCCGCCACACGAGTAAAGCCCCTAGACACCGCGGCCGTGAGGAGGATTCCTCGAGGTCGTCGTGGATGCGCCGCACGGCCCGGCATTGTGCGCGGTGAAGTTCCCGCCTTAACCACCGTGTCTCGACCGCCCAGTCCGGTTCTATTGGCCCGCCAGCCCGTACCCAGTACTTAAGATTCTGCGCGTGCTGCTGAAAGCGGGTGCACAGTTCGCGTAGTTCATCGAGACTGTCGGCTGTGATGAGTGGTTAGTGTTGAGGTACCATATTGTGCAAAGGCTGTGTGCCTATGGAGCGATTATGGTGAGAGTTGGTATATAAGCATCGCAAATAAACCTTCGAAGCGAACCAACAGCCACTTGACTGATGGGAGGCTGCTCGCCCACTTAAAGAAAAAACCCAATGTGCTAGACGAGCGATAAGCACCTTCCTTCACTCCAGTCGACAGCCAAACGAGCAATGTAATAAGACATACCCTGTTGGTCATTCTCGTAGTAGAAGCGCCCGTTGACGAGCGCAGGAAGCTCCTGGAAGTCCCGTTTCGCCTCGTCGAGCGTTTCCTCGAGCAGGCGCAGCTGCCCGAACTCGGGCGACTCCCAAGCTCGCTTGTCGGCGAACATGAGGATGCGTAGGGCATCCTGGATCGAGTTTGCGATGATGGCCAGCAGCGATCCCACCGTGTGGTCGGCTACCCTGCCGTCGCCGCTCATGTCCGTGCATGCACAGAGACGAAGGAACTGGCCGCGATAGCAGCCGAATGAATTTCTAGGCTGCCTCCCCTTCTTTGCGCTCTGCTATCTCTCTCTGACTCTATCTCTTTATATATCTGCCTGTTTCCGCATCGGCCACTAGACTATCCAAGATATCTATCCTCGGGCGCAGCGCTGCGGCTGGGTGTGGCTGTCGTCGTTGGTGTTCGTAATGGCCTGTTTCACCATGCACCATCGCCAACCACATACGGGTACGAAGGTACACTAGATAGAGTACCCACGTAATGATCTGGCTGGCGTGTGAACGTGTGGGGGCGTTCAGGTCCGGGTACGAGTTGTAGAAATAGTACCATACGTAAATACCTTGCGTATATGTATGCGTCTGTAGGTTAGACTACTTAAGTAGATAGGACTTGGACAAGCTGGACTGTGGGCGGCCTCAGTTCCCGCGACAAGGTATAGCTCTGACCCCAAGCTCGCTAGGGACGCTACTCGTCTCTGTTCTCGCGATGAATGGCGAACAAGTACAGGAAGATGTAATGGCAAAGGAGAGTCCGAGACCAGGAACGAGTCTACGAAGTGATTTAGACTTAAAGGAAAATCGGATTGTGTCTTGAGAAGTTGGTAAAGACACATGGTTTTGGGTTAGAACTCTGTCTTGGTGGTTTGCCAAAAGCTGCAGGTTGTTTCCAAATCAATGATTGATATTTTTCTTGGCGATACCTACCTGCATACTGGTAATACCTACGTACAGTCAGTACCTACCCCAGGTATCTGTCTACTGGCAGTGAATATTACCTACTTAGGTATAACCTGGTAACTATTATGCCTTGTACTATGTGGGTGCTCGCTAAGAAACATCACTCATGGTCTGCAAGGACGCAAGCTGCCGATGTAAATAACTACCGATACACTCCCTGCAGCCTGCAAGTGCCTTAAGGTATGATGTAAAAGTATGCACACGCCATAGACCTACAACATCTACACTAGGTGTTGTAGGTAGGTATATACAAAACCACTACCTATCTATCTGAAGATAGGGCTAGGTACCTACATAAACCCCGACAGGCAGCGGTAGAAGATCGCGTCATCCATTAGTGTACAGCGTCACTCGGCCCACTCGTTTCTATAACCTGCTTAGCTTAGGACATCAGCATAGGTAGTACTGCCGTACAGTATTGTCCAGGCACCTAATTGAGGCGCGAGAGGAGACGGCCGTTCGAAAGTCTATCTACCTATATGTACAGCATACGCATGCGGTGAAGTGTGCTAAGGTAGCGAGGATACTACCCAGTAGTATGAACTTTTTACCTGGGTATAGTTAGTTATACACATCCCTGTGGAATAGCCCCCGAATTGCTGCATTACCTTACAAACGGCTCAGCCCACTTACATAACACATGCCAAGCACGATCTGTCATCGGTCACCGAGTAAGTGGCCTCGGAGTAACGATAAATTAGACACATATAACCCGGCGCCAATACGGCTTTACGTATTTATATATAGGTGTTATTATCGGCCATGAGACGACGTAGGGGGGCAATAAGGCTTAATATCTTTGGCCAGATTACAGACTTAGGCATCTGCCTACCTAGCTGTTATTCATACCATCCAATCTCTTCTTTGGGTCGGTGATGATAACGGTTTCCCGCCCCCGTGGAGTGAGTGAGTAGGGTAGTATCGGGGCGCTTGCTCGTTACATAGCAACATCTGTGTAACATGGCGTCTTGACATTGCAGCGGCAATCTAAGTATAGAAGTTTCGCAGCGACGTTAATAGGGCACAATACGAAGTGCTGGAACTGAATTATCTGCCTGGGTACCCAAGGATACAACGCAATCGTCTTAGACATAAGACAGAAATATACGAGAGTCTCATTATGCCCTAAAATCGCCCAGGTTGAGCTTCGCTCAAATAGATCTATGGTGTCGAAGCCGCGCCGCGCAAAATGTAGGACCTGGTACGCCTGATATCATGTTTATTGCGGCCTGTGTGGTTGATGTTTATGAGGATCGTGAAACATGTTTTTACTCGGCTTTTGTACCCCTCCTGTCCCAACGGATCATCTCCTTCTTACCCAACCCTTCGTCTTAGATGCTCACTACACCCACCGTGGTCTACTTATGCTGTCTCGCCTTTTCTCCATATCGCTAAATCAAAGTGGATTTCGAATATATTCTTATCCTAAGGCGCTAGAAAGCAGCAGTCGATTGGATAGTATAGTGGTGAGTACAATTCGTTGTGGCCTGTGGTAATCCACCTAGTAAACACCGAATAGACCCAGGTTCGATTCCTGGTCCAGTCATTTTTTAGACGCCAAACAGGACATGCGACGCCCTTTTCTTTTTCATTTAGTAGATAAGGTAACTTTAATTTTGATCGCGTGCCTTTGCAATTACAAGTAGCCCCCTACATAGTAGAAGGCAACGCAAATTGTTGATATTTTTTTGTGCACCTACTGGGATGTTGGTTCAAGATCGATCATTGGAAGGTTACAGAATTCATCAACTTTAACTCTCGGCAATAGCCGGACGTAAACATTATCTAGCACTCTTTACTACCTAGGTAGTTTCGTCGTGTACTACTTTGGCTACTTTAACGCATGGCTTGAATAGAATGATCTCGGTCATAGTTCATCTACTTCTTATCTGCAACGGTATGATGCTACGCCTCGTGCCTTTCACAAAATCGGCCGCATATTGCAAATTACCTGCTCGTACCACCAATGCAAGCGTAGCAGGTCATAATCCTATTCCTCCAAACGGCGCCAAACCAAAATTTATGAAGAGATTCCATATCGCTTACACTGCGTTATTTCTCTTCATGTCATACTCCTGATCATTTTGAGTAGCCGCTTCTGGTCCTTTGGAGGCATTATAGTACATATCATATCTCTTCTTGCGGCGTCACGTTTTCCTCGGGAATCCGCACACCGCCACCTTTCATGTAGCGCTGGGGGGGCCGTTTGCGGTTTGGCCAGTTGTGTTATTAGATGATCCTGTGTCGTAAACTGGGGGATCGCTATCCGAAGGGGGGCTAGTAATGGTAGGATTACCATCAGCATCTTCTGTTGCCGCTTGAGCGGCAGCGGTTGCAGCAGCTTCGGCCTCTTCTTGCCGTTGTCTCTCTGCCCGGGCTTCCGCTTCTACTTGGGCAATATGCCTCTCAGCTAGGCCTGGGGCGAGACTAGCAATGAAGAGGATGCCGGCACGCTCTAACCGTCTAGCTTGGTTCAACAGCCAATTAGCGTTATCTTGACGACGCTGTTGAATCAATCTAGCTGCCGCGTTGGCTGGGTCTGGATTTCTTGGTCTCGCGGGATTCGCTCCATTGTCATCTCCATCTTGGGCGTTTTCAGCAACGGGACGCTGCTGCTGGCGACCTTCTGCGTCCGCCGCAACGGGTATTAAGTTCTCTAAGTGACGGCGCAGAGGAACCCATATCTGCTCGGCTAAAGGATTCAAAGCTCCCGTGTTTACGATAAACAAGGTGATGGCAATCGAAACCACGGTAAGCCATCGGGACCAACTAGATGTAGGGGATGTAAACCACCAAATAAATAGTGCCAAGCGAATTATCATCCATATATGTGGCCACACCTGGGCTATTCCGATGGCTTGGATTTGAGGGTTATCCATTCTATGACCAATTTGAGGTTGCATAGGACCCGGCACTTGTAAGTCAGGTTGCGGCTGTAATTGAGGCAGTTGACCCGGCGGTGGATTATTAATATGAGAATTGGGTCTGTTCGCACTACCCATGGAAGACTGTGAAATATTATGTTGCAGAGCCTCATGGCGTATATGCGGTGCATTCCCTGAAGTGATACCGAATGGCATGGATGGAGGAGGAAATGCTATGGGCGGATAGGTGCGAAGTTGAGGACTGTAGTATGTCCCGAAACTACCGCTAAACAAAATGGCGCGGGGACCGCTTGGAGAAGCCAGAATATACACTTCAGGAGTCGCTGGGGGCGCCTGATTTGCATGAATTCCGCCGGGAGCGTTGATAGAACGTCCACTAGCTCTTAAAGGATCCGGGGTGCCAGCCGCGCTACCAGTGCGTGATGGAATTAGCGGTGTTGTAACTCCAGGTGGAATCGGCTGCTGGCCTTGAAAACTTGCTAGATTTGATAGCGAAGAGCTGCTAGCGTTCCTTCGCATAGCATCAGCCATAGCACGCGTTGCAGGTCCTGCGTCTGATGCGCGGAAAGCATTTGGGATATCATAACCTCCCATCGACCCTGCGCCGGGTACTGATCGTGGCTGCGAGACTGCAGGGGTAGTGAATTCGGCTGAGGGAAGGGGAGAACCAATCCTCCCCGGCCTCTGTGTCGACGTAACGATCGACTCATTGACAGTAAAACGCCACCGCTGTCCATCCGGGCCAACACCTTCGCGGACTAGAGTCCGGGTAGTCTCGGGTTGAAACGGCGACCCTGTCCTGCCTGGCGTCGTCGATCCTGGGCCGCCCCGGTTCTGCATGCCATGATGGCCCATTGAATTAAGCGCTGGGTTCTGATGTTGATTCTGATTCTGATTTGTAAGCCCTAAACGGGCCATCGTTTGAAACTGGTTCTGCAAGAGTTGCTGCGGCGTCATGCCGGGTGGAAGCTGAGTACCATTTAAGTTGCCCTGAGGGAAACCAAAGGCGATGTTGGGATGTTGGCTCATCCGGATATAGGGCTGGGCGTGATGCTGCTGCGGATGTTGGTGCCCTGGAGTCTGAGACCGGGAGCTTGGGTGTTGGGTAGACGTGAGTGGAGGGGTCGGTGTCTGCGCTTCGGAAAGGTCCCGTAAGACAAGATGGAGGGTTTGGCGCTCTGTAGATCGAAGCTGAATAATGAACATGTTATTACATACGATTCCCCTTTTTTAAGAAAGAAACGAAAACAACGACGAGAGGTGCTTAGCCTACCGATTCTTCGCCAAACAACTCCTGCATAGTCTCAGAGTCACGCGCTAGCAGTCGCCCTCTATGGATGAGCCGCTGGGCATCATCGGGAGGCTTTGAAATGACACAGCTTCGTATCCGCTCCTTTAACTGCCGAACGGTTGTGGTGACGGGGAGGCTCAGGCAAAGGGGTTGTGGTACGTTGATAGAAGGCGATAGGATCTGCAATGTGAAGTGGCCAGGCTCTGGGGCCGTAGAAGCCGAAGACATCTGGTCCGACATGCTACGGTCAACAGCGCGAAGTTGGGACTGGCCTTTGTACGATCACGGCAGATAACGTAGCTTGTCGAATTCAGAAATCCAAGCTGGCAACAATCACCATCAGTTGAGACAACCCAAGGTGGGAACGAGCATGTCAGGCAAACCGGCTCCCAGTTAGCAGTTACAAAGGGAGCACATCAGATTTGGGTATAAGTGTGAAAGTCCATGGAGGGGCAGACTGCGACTTTGAATGATGAAACGGAGGAAAAGAAAAAGGATTGGATTGGGGGACGAGAGGGAGAAGGAGAAGGAGAAATAGTGAGTGTTATAAGGTTCGGTTTCACGGCAGTCGATGCTTGTTGGGTCTGGCGGAATTGTTGATGTTGATAAAGTGCAGTCCACTGGGTGCCTCGCTGTCCTCAACGCACCTACGTTAACGATACAGGCATCTACTTGCATACCTACCTACCTCTTCTCATTACTAAGGAGCTAAGGTACGTACTGTAGGTACGCCTCCCCACCAGTCATTGGAATGATGGCATGCATGTACCAGAATGTAGCCAAGTTGGGTTTAGCGTATCCCAGACAGAGAATGAAATCCACGTTGCGTCCAGGGTCTTGTCCTTCTGACGTTCTGGAGTCTGCCCACTTACACCGCCCGATCTTCGACCAGGAAGAAGCTATGAATACCTAGGTAGATCCTAGATAGGTTAGGCGCGCAAGGGAAAGCTACACCAACTTGCGTCATGCGAGGTGTGAATCCTGTGCGGTACCTCTAGCTCTGGTAGGTCGGATCTTTGGAGTTTTCTGGTACCTATTTTGCATCATATGCTCTTCATCACCCATTTCTATGTCGTCCCTCTCCGTTTCACCGCCTCTAGATCCTGCATGTCTAGACCAATATCCTGCTGTGACGAGGTGACTCGAATCTCATACAAGTTCCCCATTCACCAGCTCGCGATTTTCTTCTGAAGGGACATTCGTTCCCAGAACTCGGACAATGGCGACTCCATCGATGGTCTCGATTCGAGGGCGAGTCCGCCTACCCTCAAATTTCGAGCCACAATGTCTTTGTCGCCATCCGAAAGTCACCGGTTCCCGCCCGTCTTCGTGGCAATATGTCGTGACCCCGAAGGCTTCGTTCCATCATTCAAGGCGCATATTCCAAAACCGAGATCGGTTCGGCTCTAGACTTCGACATGCCCTCAACGAGACTAAGATCAAGTGGTCTCCTATACCTATAGGTCTCGGCATAGGATTCCTGGGGTTTATGCAGTTTTATAAGACACAAGCACGAGAAAAGGAAAGGCTAGAGAAGGAGGCATCTGGGGACGAAGCACGTCCGAAGAAACGGCCCAGAGTACGCCCGGATGGACCATGGTAAACCGGATTAATCCAGAGCTCATTGGATCTTTTAGCTTACACCCAATTTTTCGCAGGCAAGTCCAGGTCATGTCCACTCTGCCTCTCAAGGCCATATCGAGACTATGGGGCAAATTCAACGAGCTCACCATTCCATACTACTTACGTGTTCCTGGCTTCAGACTATATGCCTTTATCTTTGGTGTGAACCTAGATGAGGTCTCAGAGCCTGATCTTCATGTGTACCCTAACCTCGCGGCCTTCTTCTACCGGACTTTGAAGCCCGGCGCTCGGCCATTGGATCCGGACCCGAATGCGCTGCTGTCGCCCTCCGACGGACGGGTCTTGCAGTTCGGGAAAATCGAGGGCAATGACATTGAGCAGGTGAAGGGGATGACCTATACGGTAGATGCACTACTAGGCAAAAACACACCAACACCTAGTATTTCAAGTAGGGGTTCTAGACAAAACGACGAACCCGCAGAACAACCGCACGCCAAGAAAGGCAGCCAGCACGGCGACGAAGAGCTAGTCAAGAGTGACGAGGAATTCGCTCGTGTGAACGGCATTTCATACACGATTCCCAGCCTGCTCTCAGGCGGGCCCGAGGAAAGCCACGAGAGCTCGAGGATCGAGGACCAGAGTGCAGTTCATTCCAGCCCGGGTGCTGTCTCCGAGGTGAGAGCCGATCTCGCGCTCGGCGAAAAACCCTGGTATTCCCTCCTTAGTCCCGACAATAGGACTTCTCTCTACTACGCCGTCGTCTACCTCGCGCCCGGCGACTACCAC